ACATGATGTGTCGCATATTCAGTTCTTTCTATTCTATCATCTCATCTTTGGTGCGCGGTGTGTGTGCCTTCCGCCTAGCTGAAACATTAATCTATTGTTCTATATAATTACGATAGGCAGGTACTTATTACATATACAATATAATAATATATTTCGTGTTGAAGTACCTACTTAAATAAATAGCAATTAGTAATTAACTTTACATCTTTATATTTTAGTAATAGCTAATAAGTGCCTTTCATTTTATTATATTGTTTTAAAATTAATTTTGTTAACTGTACAGGATGATTCTTTTATCATGAAACAATCATTATTTCAAAAAGTATTAATGTTGTTGAAAATATTTTTTTACATATTTATTTACATTTAAAAAACGTTTTTATTAAAAAATTATATTTTTAAATATTTTTTATACTTGTAATTTTTTAAGTCTTTTACTTTTTTGAATGACAACATAGAATTTTAATTTCATTTTAAAGCAGAATATTTTTCTAAGTACTTTGATTCATAAAAATCGAAATTAGGAAGAGTAGTTTACGAGTTATAAGTATTTAAAGTTTTGATGGGCGGTGAGGAGGGTACGGGGTTACCCCGCAAAATGTTTGTCGACTACTCCGCTTGTCAAACTTTAAATACATAGAACTCATAAACTACTCGTCCTAAATACGATTTTTATGTATCAAAATACTTAGAAAAATATTCTGCTTTGGAATACGAAATTAAAACTCTGTTGTCATTAAAAAAAGTAAAATACTTAAAAAAATATGATTTTCAATAAAAACGTTGTTTTTTAACATCTTGAAACTATGTAAAAAATATTTTCAAAAACATTAATACTTTTTGAAATAATGAGTGTTTCATGATAAAAGAATCACCTATGTATAGGAAATAAATTTAAATATTCGGTACTTGTTTAAAAAAACCTGTGATGTTTTAAATAATTAAAATCAAATATTAATGATCCAAAATCGTTAAACAAGCATGAATTACAATTATAATGTATTTCTTATGAATAAAAATGAAAGTACTTATTATTATTTTTATTATTTTTTTGATATTTAAGAGCGAATAAATGAATTTTAAATAATTTTATTATAAAAAATTTAACTGGATACGAGAATACCATATTATAACGGTATAACTCTCCAAGTATATGTATAGGTTAGGTACCTATTAGGTACCTATAAGACCGGTTTTACAAAATAATTTTTCTATAAATTAAGCTATGAATATTTCTATGAAATAGTTAATACACTAAATAATATGTCATAACTCATAAATATAAAGTTTCATCAATAGAGATCCCATAAATTGCCTCCTCGATATTTGAAGTGTTTGTCGATATTTAATTAAACAGAATAATTCACAGAAAATAATGCTTGTTTGTTATTGGTAAATATTCGAAAATCTTAGAATCAGTAGGTAAAAATGTAAAATATATTAATATTTTCTATTTAGTGTTGTACGTTCTCACGACTTGACATTACAGTAGGTATCTTGTAATTTCAAAACAAAGGGGTTGATTTTAAATCGAGTAACAAATTTCTGAGTGATCTAAACGATATGAACCATCGTCAGAGTATATTAGCATAATATGCGTATATTATTATGATACAAGCAGTTATGAAACGGGAAAGACTGATTAACTAATTTCTAATACAGAAAAAAAATCCGGGGACTGGACGAGACTGTAATAATAGGTTATTAATTAAAATCTTATACAGGATTTATTGCCTTATATATGATATATGAAGTACAATTTACGTTTAACAGTTCTATATTTGGGAGCCCCATATTTCACGTATTATATCCTTAATGCACGTAAAAAAGATAAAAATCCAAAACTTATAATTCATGGTATTTTTAATTAATTGTTGTAGCATCATTTATTAATTATTATATACTGTCATTATATTATATACTATTATTGTAAATTAAGTTAAAATCCGTAAAAAAGATTATTATTATTAATATTATAATAAAATACATTTTTTTAAAATTAAGTTGTGGCAATATTAACGCTATCAAATAAACGGAACAACGTGAAACGTTTATTATACTACACAATATTATTGAACGTATTACACTTATTTAAATTTTGAACATGATTTATCTGCATTAGTTTAAGTATAGGCATCACCGGATTAGGAAGAAATTACTAACCGGGCAGTCTGCCTAGACCAGCCCAAATCTCTGATTCAAAATGTCTTCGAGTCGGCCCAAATCTTTTGAATTTTTAACGGTCCACCGGGTTTTGCACAATAGCCCGCAGGCTCAATCCGCACCTGAATATAGGAAGCTTTGTTATGCAGATACACTAATATTTGGGTTATAGACTAGGATAGTAGGATCCTAAGTTGGCTCATGCACTTGGCTTCAATTTATTTTAATCAATCACTGGACCGGTAATATAAAATTTCCTTGGCAGGCTCTGATTCTGAGTTATCATTATATAGATGGGTGGGAGTCAGCAGAAGGTAATCTAATAAAGATAGTAGTATTGTAAATTGTAATATAATAGAACATCATACTAAAACTCAATCAAAAATGAAATACCCTAGCGTCAGAAAATCAGTAGTTGTCAACTTGTCAAACCACCGCAATAATCCATATCGAACAGAAAAATTGAAGTGCAAGTAGTGATTTTTAATTGTAATTATTAATAATTTAATATTTTAATCGAATTTTTTTCAACCTACGGATACATGAAAAAACACTCCTGATTCCTATATATAGACATGTAGTTGTAGAATAGAACTACGATATACTTACATAATTCATCTTATAAATCTTATTTAATATTAAAATTAATAATTATCATTCTAGGACAGGGTTCTCCAAACTACGGCCCGCGAACAAGTTTTAACCGGCCCGTGGCCCGCATAGGACGCACAGTTAAATATAGATAAAAATGTATTTATATTATATTATATTTATACCTATTTATTTTTATTTAAGTATATTGTAAAGTAAACAATATTTTATACAAAAATATAAAGTAAACATATTATTTAGATAGGTACCTATATTATCATAAAATTAAAAATGATATGTGTTAATAAACTTTTGGCCCGCTAAGAGCATTTGATTTTTTATGTGGCCCTTGAATAAAAAAGTTTGGAGACCCCTGTTCTAGGAATATAAAAATGGATTCATTTTTATTCTTAGTTTTTTTTTCAAAGTCTATACAATACATAATTATATAATAGGTTAACTATTGCCACTTTGAGTAAGCCAAGACTTTCAAAAATTAAAATAAATATAAGTACTTCATCCTCCCTGAACATCAATATATCCTAATTATTTTAAATCTGTGGTAGGTATATTTCAAGTAGGGTATAATATATCAGGTTTTTAAAATATATACACATATCTGCCTTAAAAAAATATACCTATGTTATATTCATCACTGATAAAATCAAAAATGTTATGTTATTTTTAACGATTTAATCATTATAAATATATTGATATATGATTATATCACAATCATCATTTTATAAGGTTTAATATAAATTATAATAGTTCTTTCTTGTAGGCCCAGAATACAATAATTTTATCCAATTTATAATATTACACGGGAAAAAGTACATTGGTATTATATAAGATCATAATCTAATTCAGAAAATGTTTGAAGTTAGTTTAGCATTAATATTTTGGTAAGTTCTGTTATTATTTAATTTAATACAAGTTTTTAAGTAATATGGTTATCTATAAACTGAGATAAATACTTTTTAGGAATGTAATAAATGGTTTGTAATTCTATAGTACCTAAGTTGAAAATAACTGAAATTTCCCTTGATTAAGCTACATAATCAAAATTATGTAGCATGATAGTGTTAGATAAACAGATGTAATTTTATTTTTAATTATTGAAGATAATTTGATTACTATTATTCAGGGTCGGACAGGCCAGTCAAGCATTCGAGAAAATATCGAAGGGCCGCTAACATTTTGGGCTGGTAGGAGAAATTTACCGCAATGCTACTTCCATTTTTTATGACGGCTATATAATAGGATACTGTCAACAAATTTGATAAGGTCATTATTGTTTATTAATATTAAAATTTGTCCAATATCTGGTCACTATAGCAAATCATGAAACACTATAGAAAAATATTTTTGGAAGGGCCGAGACTACCTAATCCAGGCCTGGTATAATTGTATTACAATTTAAGTTTCTGAGTTACACAAACTAACATTTTTTTTTCAAGTAATAGGTGTAGTTTAATAAATAAATATAAAATAAGAAATGCATATAACTAGAACTACACTTAGAAAAATTATATAAATTAGGTAGTACCAATACACTTTATATTATTTATTGATTATTCAATAGTATAAATTAATAATATATGATTTGTTGCATATACCTTTTCTTTAAATACCTTTTAGGATGAGAAATGGATTTGTTTAATGTCTAACTATATTCAGAAAGCAATTAAAGTTTAACTTCGCTATTTGATGTAACCGGGATATACCAAAGCAAAAAATACACATCTAAGAAAAGTCAATTAAATATTTGAAAAAACGTTTGTTCATACTAAACAGAAAAGATCAAACTATTATATTATTTATAAATACAAGTATACCTACATATTTTAATTTTCAATTCATAGTACCAGAAATTATCTATTGACTAGATATCCGAACACCTGACCTGACCTAACTTAACCATATCTAACCTGACCTGACCTAAAAAATGTATATACAAACGTTCTCAACATTTGAAAAATTGATTAGATTAATATTAATACTTAACTTCAAAAATGTGATAAATTTATCATAATTTATGAAATATATTTATAATAAAATTATAGCTTAAAATATGCATACACTATAAGCGCCACTCATAATATAATATAATAAAATTAAGAAACTTGCATTCAATTTATCTAATAAATAAGTTATCAGTAATATAATTTTACTTTTTCTAAATTAGGTAGGTTTATTACAATACGCAGTTTAAAGAAAAAGGTTAGTATAATTTTATAGATACTCACTTCAATACAATAGGAGCAGCCACATTGTTGAAGCGTCCAAGAATTTTTTACAGGAACTTCATTTAAACATACTTTACAAAGTACAATAGGTTGATCTCGGTGTGTTACAAAACTTGATGTTGATCCTAATGAATATCTAGATGAAGATGCAGCCAAAGACAAAACACTACTACATCTTGAACAAACAGCAGTATCTCGTAATCGATTTATTGGTTTAATTCCAGCAGGCCGATTTAGTACTACATTAGATAATGTTACCATAGTATTGTATTTACGAATTGGTTCATCATTTCGTATACATTCTAAATGTGACCAACTTTCTGCTGAACCTGGTTGATTTAATGATGAAGATGAGGATGACTTGCCCCTGGCCAAAGTGACCAGGGACCGTAAACTGGGCATTAATAAATCTATTTTACTTTTGCTCCATTTTCGTAGTTTTCTGGCAGCATCTTCATCATCCAAGGATGATTCATTGTTCAGAAGCACTTCTTCTTCTCTTTCCCAACTACGTCTATTATTTTTAGGTAAATCAACATCACTTTTAGACGGTTTCTCTTCCAAACCATTTTGTCCCGAAAGCACAGTGATACGGTGGGACTTAGGGCGCCGAAATGGATCACGTTCTAATATTATCTCGCGACCATCTTCATCGTCATCCGCCAACGAGTGAGTACGTTCATAATTAACAGCGGTCTTCTTCATAACGCCGGTCGACGTGACCGCCAATCCGTCGACCGATCAGTTTGGGCTGATGGATGATTGTTTGTCATTTTCCGTGAACAATAAATTCAACTACATCTTTTAACACTGGTGAAAAATATTGTGAACCTAGTGTTGTTTAACTTTAACCTTCATCTATATAAAACAATACAAAACACTAAGTAGTAATTCAGGAAGTATTTAAATCGATTATTAAATTGTTACAATTAAATATAGAGACTGTCGTTTTAAACATTTTTGTTTTTTTTGTTTTATTTTGTTACCTGATAGTGTTGAATTCGTGACCCCCTTTACTTTGAAAACAAGTTTACTAACGTCTCAACCTATTATTTGGGTTACGACTTTAATAGTAGGTCATTTAGTCATTATTTTATGAACGATCGATAACGTGAATACGTGATATTGAAAATTCTTGTACACACAATACACAATAGAACTGGTGATAAATTTTTACAAAACGAGAACATTTTTATTGTTTTTATCAGATGAATATGACCAATCAGCCGATTTGACAGATGGCTACACAGACATGCACGCCAATATACGAAAATAAACCGGTGACAGGTTGACAAACATCGACCGCATATTGTATTTTTAAATATTCTTTTCACTATTACAAAATAATAAAAAATTATGATGTAGGTACAATGATATATTACAATAATAATATGCCTATTCACTATGCCGTCTTAAGTCTTACCATTTATGATTTATCACCTACTCACCGATATTATCGCAAGACACAAATACGCGTTATCTGAATATTACGAACTAAACTCGGATGCCGAGAGCGCATTTATAATATTCGCTTAAGCTCGTTTACTGGACGTCCTCAAATAATTTTAATTAAACATTTTCCAAATGATACTAAATGCGATAATTTAATTTGTTGGAACGCTACCGTACACACACAACTCACTGTCCACACGCAAACTAACAACAAGACTCTATGGATTATACCGAACTGCATCTGGCCATGAAATAATATTATCGTCTAGTACTCTAGTGGATACAGGTTTTTCGTTCACTCGCTGCGCGTTGTTCACAAACCGATAGCTCTACGTTTATACGTTCTATGCTGAAACGTTCGTATATTATAAAGAAATCAGCATAACGATAAAAAAAAAACCTTACCTACAACAAGTAATTTTTCTCAAGTCACGCAATTAGGTACCTAGGTATGTGTATGATTTACAAAATGTGTTTTTTCTTCACAGGGACGGTGGGACCTTCTAGGGGTTAACTTAGGGTCTTTTTGTGTGGAGTAAAAAAGTATGATTTCACCCCCCCCCCCCCATATAGAAACAGACAAAATTGTTATTACAATTTTTTTATAAATTATAAATATATATTGATGTAATTAAACGATGTATCAATTTTTCGTAGTCATTCGAAAATCGAATTGTCGGCAGTCAAAGCATTTAAATGATAAAACCAAAGATTAATTTTAACCAATTTAAAAGATGATAGAATTAAAGATAGTACACCATTCACTACGACCGCAGAATAAAAATACGCCTAAATAATTTTAATTTTATTCAGTATAATGGTAATAAGCACTATATAGCATAGACCATGATAGTTACAACTTACAACCAACAACCCGCAAGGGTATCGCCAATTTTTTCAAAAATTATTTCTTATAATAGGTACGACCTACTCAACTAATTACCTTCGATTAACGATTTTACTATATTGTTTTTAGTTTGGTAACGTATTTCGTAATAGCCGGCATCGAGCTATTATGTAATATATACAGGTACGATTGTTTTACAGTGGGAAACTTCCAATCTGGGAATTGGAACCATAAATTAATGAATACCGATGGAACCCTCGGCATTTAATTGTTTTTTACGTAGGTACACAGATAAACGGCACTCGTAGTTTTGTTATTATTATTTATTTATTTACGGAATAAATCCATTTACAATATTAATATATAGTGTACAGTGTAACAAAACATATGATGAATATTTAGTTTAGTGATTACATATTATTTAAACCTAGATATAGTATAAGTATAGTTTACAATATATTAAATATAATAACATTTAGACTGAATTAACAGTGAACAATTAAAAACATTGAAACAAAACAAAAAATACATTTTAAATAATCAAACATTAAATGCTGATTTAATACTATTTATATTACAAAAAAACAAATCTAAATTAACTGAATTTGCAATAGACATCAGTGAATTTATTGGGGAGGAAAAAGAATATAATATAGTAGGTAGGTAATACTATATAATATAGTATTTAGTTCTGTTCCAACAGACTATATTATTTTACGCTAAATACGATAAATGGAAATCCTGATTTCTGATCACTTTAATTTAAAAAAAACAAGATTCTCAATTGATTCTAAAAAAAATGCACAAAAAAAAACAGTAATCCAAATTCTTCTTACAACAATCTTTAAGAAAAATGATTTTTTTTTTTTATAGGTAGTCATACGGTGAAATTTAATATTTGAATAGCAAGCCTGCCATTATGCTAAATATAAAATGTAATTTATTTTTAATTATTTATTAATATCGGTTAAAGATTTAAAGTATGTTTAATTTTATAGTGTAATATACTGAAACGTTAACAGGTCAAACTATTTGTATTTACTCAATAATCTGTGTAGCTAATAGCTGCTGTTGTAACGAAAAAAACGTATATTACTATATTCGGTATACCACCTCGTTTTACTCAGTAATTGACTGTTTTGCTTTCCTCCCTTCAAATTAAAACAGTATCTGATACTAATCTAAGTGAGTTCGCTTCCAGTCTTTGACACTTTATAAGGAATCTTGTCTTTTACATATTATATGAAGAACTTAAGACAACACGAAAACTAATAAACTCAATCGTTCCATTACGTACCAACCATCATTTTAAGTATTTTGAATACAGAATAATTAATAAATAATAATAATTAGTGTACTGTGGAATTATTTTTAATAGATGTTCTTGAGTAAAAATATACATGGGGAAACTGAGCTCATTCAACTTTCACCCCAGTACGTTCGTTTTGATTTTAAAATCGCAGTTACATTACTATTTATCAGAACAATTAAGGGGCCCGGTGCTAGTTTTTCAAATTTTCTGCAATTCTATAAAAATTTTATTTTTTTTTTATTTTTACAAGATATTTACAATCTATTCATACATAGAATTATAAGCTCTATAAAACTTGAAAATTAAATTTTATATTTTAGTTGCCTCCTTAATAATACTTCATTTTAATACTTGTCCGCTAATCTACTTCCCGATACCTATTTATGTGGGGTTGATAGATTGTATTATATTTAAAAAAATTACTTCACCGGAATAATAAAATTATCAGGACTTATAGATCAGTCATTTTTTGATAACTATTTTTTTATCTGAAAGAAGAAGACTCTTACAGGCCACATCGAACTCTGACTTTTTTTTTTATTTAAAATAATTGTATAGTATAGTTTATAAAAAAAATGCATAAAATTGTAATATTTTTGAAGACATAAAATTTGAGATTAAAATATTGAAAAACGGAGTGGGGCCTCTAAAATATTACCCTCTATTAGCACACTATTTGGTTTTTCTCTCTGGCCAATGCTAAACCTAGTAATTTTGCATTTAGATTTAGCAGAACAATCAACGAATCATCTGTTACCTATTACTTTAATAGCTTTAATATTAGAATGAATTTTTATTAATAATAACTTATCAATTCAGTCTTGTTAAGTATACTTTTCAAATGTATTCAGAATACGTATTTAAATACTTGGTGTAATTTGTATTTAAAATACGTGTTCAAATACTTTCTTTTAAAAGTATTTAAGTATAAATACAAATACCTTTTAAAAGTATTCAAAATACTTACACAAATATTTTTTTTAAGTTTAATTAATGAATAATTAATGATCAGTAATTCAATCAATTTAATAACAAGTCGACTAAACACTATACACCCACACCATGAAGTACCTACTATTATTGAATAGATTCTTTAATCAAGCCCACCAAGCCCTCTCATATATCCCTCCATCTATTGTGCTTGTTATAAATATTTTATACAGATTGTACAAATTAAAATGACAAAAAAAAAATAGTTCAATAAAATTAATACCTATATCTTATATTCAATTTATAAACTACTACCACAGTACCACCCATTGAATAAGAAGAAAGCTTATTTAAAGATTCAAGATAACTATGCCAATTCAACCAGTGATGGTCAGTGTCTTGTATGTTATGGTAATATACTAATATGGGAGTGAGGAGCCGACGGGGGTTTCAGTGTTAAGTCATTCTGTTAAGCCGCATACACACTTGTAACATTTTTTGAGCATAACATCCTTTGATGCAGCCAAATTTACCGACAATTGGTGGAACGGTGTTACGGCGTAACAGAAAATGTTACAAGTGTGTAAGCGGCTTTATCTTCTTGTATTTTGACAAAATCTTATTTATAAATTATCAGAAGTTAGAAACATTTTAAAATAATATTTTAGAAACAACATTAAAAATAGTACATTCCGAAATATTAGTAATTGGAATTTGGAGTAGATCACGAGAATTAAAAAAAGTATTTAGTATTCTAGAATAAAAATACAAATAAAAAGCATTTTTAAGTATTTAAAATACATTGGTCAAAAAGTATTTCAAATACAAAAAAAGTATTTAAATACAAGTATTCGAATACTTAACAAGACTGCTTATCATTATTAAACTTGAATTTAGGGATATGACACTGACCTGCTCTAAAGCAAGTTTTGATTGTTTTTAAATTCTAAGACTTAACAAAATTATGCTAAAAATTAATAATAATAATTTACTGATTTATCAATTTAATTTCAACAAATATAATTGTTTTATGTTGAAATTAAATTGTTATAATACAGGACATAGCATAAATCTATTATCAAATTAACATTTAAAATCTATAATATCATTACTTCTGTGCAATCTCAAATCTGGTTATTAAATTTATTTAGATCATTTATCATTCTATACATAATAATCAACGCTAGGAACATAACTAGTAAATTGATATTAAGTCAGATATTTGATTTCACAATCCACAGCACTTAACTCTTTTACTAATGCAGAATTCTGTCAACTTGAAATTTGGAGTGCAAGTATACATCACTTATGATAAAAAAAATATACATTTATTATACCTATTTATTAATGATTGTAAACTGTGATTCCTAATGACTGCTAATTTTTTTTACCTTACTTTACTAAATTAATTATAATAGAAATAGAAGTAATATTATTGTGTAAGCAAATATTTCAAATTTAGTGCAGTTGTCCAAATGTATTAATTTTTTCCAGAAGTCTGATAATCAAATCAAAAGTTCAAAGTTGATTAATAGTTAAGACATGGAATACAATGTTATTATTGATTGTAAATACTATTATTAATATGGTATTATAGTGGTACAATATGATATTAAAGTTCAATTAATATTGAAGGAGTAGTATGCAATGCAGAAAAGGTTTAAGTATGAACTATAGAATGAAAATTTTTTTATATATTTGACACAGAGATATATAATATATGTATAATATATATATATAAGTAAATAACTACTAAAAACAAAGGAGAAAATCACAAAATATATTTATTTTATCAATACTAGTTTTAAAAAATATAATCATAGTATAATAAAGTTGTTCATGTCAAAACATTTGATTCTGAGAAATTAATAGTACTAATAGTAACAATAATATGATTTAACAGTTGCCTTTATAGGATATACAAATTAACAATTTCAGTATAAAAACAACCTAAATAATATAGTATTTTACAAATATTTTCATTAATACTACTTTGGTTATTTAAAAACATTTATTCTTCACAATTAACAACTTATCGTGTATGCATGAATATATTGTATTTAAAACATGCCATCGTTTGCTCCTAACGGTATTAACAGCAAGATGAAACATATCAGATTACGGAATAAATCTTTATGATCAGATGGCACAGCATATGGCGTCAATTTGGTTGTAATATCATGTAACTGTTAAATAATATTTGTATTGAAAAAAAAAATAGTTAGAATATTAGATATTATTATTTAGATATATAATATTTAGTATGAATGGGATATAATTACCTCATGGCAGATACAAATAAAAATGAATGAAACAATTAAACCATTGAGTACTGGATAACCAGGCAATAATACAAGAACTCCATGAGTATCGGCTGCTAACCATATATGACATTGGCAAACCATTAATTCTAAAGAAATTCTGCCGAACCAAGCAAATAAACTGGAGAAACGTGTTCTCAATACGCCAGAAACATTTCTTAATATAATGTAACTAACTATCTGGAAATAAAAATAATATTTATATGGTACATACACAATTTTTTTTTATAATTATTCCATTTTGAGTCTTACAGGAATGACTGATGTATAAGATAATAGTTCATAGCATTCTGTTTTATTCTGACACAAAATATTATAAACAGTCGAGGCAATAAGTCCAATGAATGCAACAAATGAAGAGAATACAGCTAATCGAGGCAACACTAAATTACTGTGATTATTGTCATCAATTAAATTATAACGTTGAGCTAAGATGATGATAAAACTCAGTATTACACCATTAACAACACTAAACATATATTATTTTAATTATTATAAATATTTTATACTGAATTGGTTATATTTGTTACCTAAAACGGTTTAGTTTCCACCGATACCACCATTCATGAATATCATCATCTGTAGTTACAAATAAGGCTTTCCATGGACGCGTGAGAAAAATTTTATCGAAAAATACCTGAAAATTAAAATCAATTAATATGCATTATTATTATATATTTATAATTATATGACTTATGCAGGCCCGGCTCAAGGGGTAGGCGACATAGGCCCACGCCTAGGGCGGCACATAAGCAGCACTTTAGTAAGAGGGCGACATTTTCAAAATACTGTTAATATTATATTATTAGGGGCGGCAAAATTTGATTTCGCCTAGTTCACTATTTTCGCTTGAGCCGGTCCTGGACTTATGGGTATTATAACTAAACATACCTCAGACATATAAAGAATGGTGATGAAAATGAAAAGAGCTAATATTTTTAATATTATATATAAGTACTGTGCAGGTCTTATTTCAGATGAAGCTGCAGTTACACGAGGTGGACAAATTAATAGTAAGTAGACAATAGTAAACCAAAATGATACTAAAGGTATGTAGTAATAGAATTGGTATGGCCGGTTCATGCAAACACACAACACTACAGTCAACATGTTCAATCTAAATAAGATCTATAAAAAAAAAAAATTCAATTATTTAAGATTATTTATTGTTCAAATTAGAGCAAATATTAAAATTAAATTTTTTATGTCTATTTTGAAAGTCAACTTTTTAAAAATAACACGTTACTGACATATACATTACAAAAACAAAATATTCATATATTTGGCTTACTGGAACAGTTTATTGGGATACAGAACATGTTTTGTTGTTGATTTTCAAAATAGTATCACATGCCAAACACATTTTTTGGCTAATAATAGTAAATATCAATACAATTCCCTATTAGGAATAACAAAAAAATTATAATACCACATACAGGGAACAATTGTACCTCAAAAATATTAGACGAGTTATTTTATGTTTTTGGCACCATGAAACAATAATATGGTAATCTGTTATACGAGACTACCTTGTTTTTTGAAAAGATCACAAACCTGTCATCTAAGACTACAAAAATGGTTATTTCCTGTCATATGAGACTATGGCTATCATAGCGACAATAATCGCAATTATTGTTCTACCACAATGGCTGAACGATAATTTAACCCATAGTTATGGGAATTATTTATTATTTTATTTATGGATTTATCATTTTTGTTCATATTCGTAAACCGGCAACAACAAAGATAATATTATTCTTTGTAGGTATTATTATTTATTATTATTTTATTGTTTTTAGCAGCTGTACGCAGAGTGTAAAATATATTACAAATGATTACTGGATATTTAAATCTTTTCTTTATATAATAAATTTGAGTGTGACCATCCCATGGCTACATATTAAAAAATATATATCAAAGAATCAAATAAGATTAATAAAAATAAGGTATTCTGTGATAATAGAAATGTATGCACATTTTGGTAGTTTTGGGTGGTAGTCGTGATATAGCCGTAGTCTGGTATAACAGGAAAGAACCTATATTTTATATAAACATTTTTACTAATTGGCTATTTATTGTAATTAACCTATACCGTTGGATCAATTTCTGGTAAAATAAAAAAGGCATAAATAAGGTATTGAGACTGTGTAACAATATTATACCCTGTTCCAAAAGAGAAGACACCCGATTTACTAAGCAAAACTAGGTTTGCCCATGGCTGCCTGGTGTCTTCTCTTATGAAACAGGATATAGTTTTAAATTAATTAATTTGTTTTTTTGACATTTTGTTTATATTATGGCTAATTGTTTGTAAGCTTTATACATAGTAGGTAAGTTTTCCTAATTTTTAGATTTTTAAGATCTTTTTTATTTAATATTATTTTCACTGTTGTGGTAAAGGTGCTTATGTTACACTCATGTACAATATATGATAATACAGACATACCGACATGTTGGTGCCACAAAGTATCAAAACCCATATAGAATAACAGAACACAGCTACTAATAAAATACTATATGGTATATTCTGAATGAATACAACCATTTTATAACATCAAATTTTATTGTTTTATGAGTAGCTTTGAATGCATTTTTTTTTAAATATCCTAGCCCTAAATCTATGGTGATGAACATAGTTACAATTACGCATACATAATAACTATTAACTTGTATAAAATATAAATTTTTTTATATGATCATATTATTATGGTACAAATTGTATATTATATTAATACATCCAAAGGTAACCTGCATATTAAAAAAATCTATTGTACAATTTACTATAGAATATAACCAATTAAAAGTTTCAATGTAAACATATAAACAATCAAAATATATGTTATAAAAAATAAATAAATACACATAGAGCACTCAACATGTACCATATTTTTAAAAAATGTGTGTATGTCATCCATTTGATATTCCGATTAATTTAACGATACTGAGTCGGTACACAAATTAAAAATGAGTAAAATATTTTGTAATAAAATGTATACAATAAGAGGCTTGATAATTTAATAGGTAGAATGATTCTCAAAAGTTGTTCTTACAGAAATTTAAAATATCAATCAAAAATATGTATTAAAAAAAAAAACGGTGAAATATTGAATAAAGTCCACTATATATTAAATTTAAATACAATTATTAATTATTTATACAATTAAAACATTTGTTCCACATCACTTTCCTTTATCAGTTCTCCGTCCAGTAGTATAAAATTCACACAAGACCAGAGAATGATAAAGGAGTGTAATTGGAAAATCTAAATGACGAATGAGGATTTTATAAATACAATCAACAAAATCAATGTATTACCTGAAAGTAACGAGTAAGTCCTGCATCACTTCTATGCCACATGTAATAAAAATGACCATATCCCGTAAGAAATAGATAGGCAGATATCAATATTTGAACATGATTTGCAATTGATGTTTTGATACTTGCTCCAGTTAAATTGTATATTAAAATTATTAATTGCATCCAACCTAGAAATAAAATGTTTTATTTATTTGCCTAAGTGAAAATTGTATAACTATATTTATCCTAAAACATAATATCTTTATTACTTTGCACAGAAATATAAATCAAATTCACTTATACATAGGTCTTTTTAAGACTTACAACAAATAGTTATAACCAAAAAAAAAAAAAAACCAGTTACTACATGAATTAATATAAACATTTCATAGATTATTATGACTTATGAGTAATGTATAATAATATATTCTATAATGTATTCTGAAATGTTTAAATTTATGTAATTTAATTATCTATATATATTTTATGATAATTTTTGAAACATAATTGAATTAAAAAAATTCTTAAAATCAATACCTTTCCATTCGTCAGTTTGATCTCGATGAAGTACTTTTGTGTATCTACTTTCTTCAGTGAAAAATAAACCGAGAACAAATACATAACCAACAGGCAACCAAAAACTGGCATCAGAATAATATTTGTTTTCTTTCATGAAAAAATTTGTTCTGAAAATGAAGTAGTTTATTCATCATAAGAATTATAAAAGAATAATAGAAGAATCAATAATTTACCTGTCGCATAAGTAAAAATAAATCATAATAAGACCCAATTTTGCAAGAGAAATCATTACCACATAGCTTGGTTCTTTTTTAGATAACCTATTCTGTCGATATCTAACTGCCATTAGGATTCCAATGAAAATACTAAATATAAAATATCTCAAATTTATTGAAAATGTAAAAATTAGTGTATATTTAAGTAACTTACCAAATGATAAAAAAAACCAACATATAACTTTGTAATGAAGTATATGGTTCAGTACTTGAGCAACAGGTACCATCATTGAAATTCATGTGATCGTTGCAATATAAGTTTAACAATATTTGAGCTCTTAATCGTAAAGATGCGTTACTAGAATGGAGACCATCTAGACTATCATTCATTTCCCCCTGGGACACAAGTCTTGAACTCCACCACATTTCAGCTGAACTTTTACTAAGAACCTAAACATTTACAAAATTATCATTAAAAACGCTTGAATAATTTAAATACAATTAAAGAGTCATTTAAATTATGTGTTTAATACTTATTTATTAACAGTAATAATTACTTATAATGTAAATTCAGAAAATTCAAAACATATTTATCTTTTACATGTAGTGTATACCTAACATTATATAGTGAGTAAAATGTTATAATAAACAACTATAAATTTGTACATGTAATTCATAATTTATATAAGTAACAACTTGACACATTTGTTAAATAGGAAGTGTCATGTCAGGGAATGTCACTAATAAATAAACTACAACTACACATTTTTAAATTCACCAAAAGTAAATAAAAAAAATATTAAGGTGATTTTCAAATATTGGTTTATATAATATAGACAATTATGATTTCATTAGTAAGGTTGAAAATTTGATGCCCTATACAAGATGCATTAAATCCCTAAAAAACTATAATTACGACAAAAATATAAGGCATACAAAATCTTTAAAATTGAACATGCATTAACACATTGTTCATACTATTTTAATTATATATTATGATAATTTGTTGATATATTGATTCAAAGATGCTGAATTTGGTTTATTTGTGTTCATTGATTATAAAAATACTTAGTAACCTATATTAATTTTAGTAGCATGCAATTTCATGCAGATAGATTGTATGAGTTGATGAGCCATATAAAATTTCATACAAATTCAAATAAATTTCAATACTGTCAGCCCAATCTAACACTATACTCTGTCCAGCGAGAGAACGTGCCGCGCACCGACCAAAACTGGTTCCCCCACACAACACTCTGCCATAGGGGAACCGGTTTCGATAGCAAGGAGACGCGGGGAAATGCGCAGAATCGGCCCGTTCTCTCGCTGGACAGAGTATAGACAAAATTTAAATACCAACATTAATTTCATTAGATTTTTCTGGCAATAAGCTTTATTCCTTGAGATCTACTATAACAGATTATCACAGAAAATTAATTTTATTAAATTATTTTATAAGCTTACATCCATTGCAGCTTCATTATACAAATCAATTAAATTGTTAGTAACCATAGACATTGAATTATCAAGTTTACTCTCTTCAACTGGTTCTTGCAAAACCCACAACACTATTGATTTTGATGAGATATCATTAATTGGCTAAAAAAAAAATACATTAAAATTAATTTTAATTAGTATAAATTAAACTTAATATTACCTTACCTTAATTAGTAGAGTGATATTAGCAATATAATCTTGAATACCGTTTAAGGATCCATTTGATTGAATGATGGGCCAAATAGCACTTCCTGCTACAATTACTCGAGGTTTATCATTTACATCCTATATCATATATCACTGTAAATTTTATTTTTATATAGGCCGAATATACAGTAAAAATATTTAAACATATTATGTTCAATTTACTTGCTTTCAATTTTTTTAAATATTTGACCATTGGATCAATATATGGACTCCCAAAAAAATGTACATCCAATTTCAGACGACTATCATGGAATAGATGGTCAGAGTCAGAATAATGAGAAGGTGTAAATTTTGAACTTTTAACTAACTGTGCTTTTGGTTCTATAGTATGAATTAAAGCATTATACATATCTAGTATTCTAGAATCACCAATAAAATGAAACTGGTTATGACTTCCTCTAAATGCTAAATATTTCAAGCAACGGCTACAGTCTCTGAAATCAATATTTTAATAAATATGATGTTTAATTAATATGCATACAATTACAAAATAGTTTATTAAATAAAATCCCATAAATCAACATTCATTATTTTAATGAAATGATTCTATACTTAGTGTTCAATTTGGGATTTCATGATACAGTTTGACAGTGAGGTTCATTTGTTTGCATAATACTAATGTAATATTATATAAATTAGGCTGATCTCATACATAATGTCCATAGAACTATAGTTGTTGTATTTGTATAAAAGTATAATGTTTTTGTTAGATTAATGAAATGTATGTATATTCTACGCCACAAGAGAAGGAACTCGTTTAACGTATGCACACTGTAAGCATTCTCCCACTTTGAGCCATTTAATGTATGTCAAATACGTGGCGATACGCGGAATCAAAACGTGTTTCGGTCGGGACACGGGTTCCTTCTCTAGTGGCGCAGAGTATAGTGGTACACACTAAATTTTTGATTTTATTATACTTTCATGGCAAATAAAATTTCCATGATCTCCACGAACATATTATTTTATTATAAGCATTATAATAAAATATATACGCATATATTACAATGGCCATAAAAAGTTTCAGGTCGAGCCTGGGCTTGACCGGCTTTCCCCATGCACACGTCTATGGCTGATCTTATTTATGGAGATCATAAAGTAAAAGGTTGTCAAAGACTTTTGTCCACCTGTACTACATATGTTAATATCTTATAATACCTACATAATAATATTCTTCTTTAAATTTAGAATCAATAATTTATTATTAATAAGTAGTTAATCAATTTTTAAGTTTGATTATTTCAGCATACCAAGCACATAGCAGCAATGTAATAAATTTTCAATATTTTTTTTTCAAAATCTCATCATTTTTATCATTATAATGTATAGACTGGTGATCTTACTGCTATTTTGTTACTCCTTAGTCCTAATAGTCAGTAACAACCACAGGGATGTAATAAATTTACATCTGTCATCTATAAACTATAACTGACCAGTTAATTTTGATTGGTTTTTAGTTTATACCCACCCATATTTAAAATTCATACAATTGTTTAATTAAGGCTAACTTATCAAAATAGTCCAATTCTAATTTTTTTTTTTTAATACTTAAAGTAAATATAGTTTTGCTGTGGCAATTGCTTTTTATGTTATACATAATAATAATATTTTATATGAACAAAACTATTTTCATCAGGTGATCTGGTGATCATATAACGCACGTTTCATTGCACCTATTCGTCCGATACCAGCGGTATCTCCTGTGATCTCTACTACTCTCTATAAATTGAGCAATATACTTAACCAAAATTAAACTTACAATTCACTGTACTCATGCATCATGCAACCATATGGTTGCCAGCCCATGTCACCTTTGTATCGTCCGTCGGATAGAAGCCATTTGCAGGAATCTCTTGCTGTAAAAATATGCTAGATTATAATACGAATACTTAGAAATAGAATCAATAGTTGCATGTTGTTTAAGACTAAGTACTACCTGATATTGTATACTTTACTTACCATAAAACAAATGGATACAAGAATGGATGACAATAAACCAAAATACAAAGCATAATGCTATTTTTTTGGCATTTTTAGAGTTAAATTTTTTATTAATGTCGTCGTGCCTCTGAACGGATTCATTGCATAATAGCGGCGCTTCATCAGAGATTTGATCATCGGCCATTTTTCATGAATCATATATAAGCATTGCTGATATTTCGGTCACTAGAGGTGTTACATTGACTTTACAAAACACTTAACCCACGATAATTCACAACAACTTGCAGAAAATTAAAGTAAGTTCATTGAAAATGTTAACATAAAACGAAAAACGGAGCAGAAGAACTAAAACACAAAAGTTCACATTAAATAATTAAAACACTTAATTTTATTTTTTCGGGAGGATCGAGGATGAGATCAGAAATCATTGCCCAATGACCATTGGGGCTAAAACAGTGTAGCCATATCGCACCAACCTATAATACTATTCAATCCGAAAATGTGTGGAATGTGGATAAGATGTGTACAATAGTGTACATTGTACAATAGTTTACCATATTATTGTGGGTAAAGAACATGGAAAAAAATTTAAAAGATTAAACGTGATTAATATTATGGACGATTGATTAAAATATGACGATGGGATTATGGGAATATGGGATGGACCTTTTTATTAGGAAAATAAGCCGTATGATATTTTCAATTTTGTCACTATAATATAATCATTTTCCATTGATTTTATATTAATTAACAATTATTATTAATTACATTTATCAAATTACATTACATTAATCAAAAATTAAAAAAAACATTTGCTTGTGATTTCTGCAATTAATTGTCTATAAGAATTATATCTGACACTTAATATTACATTACTCAGTATACAGCATTACAGCATTTGTTATAACTTTGGAAACGTTACAATTTGAAAATAAATTATAATATTTTAAATTGTAGAAATACACTGTACTCCAGTTTTGTATAAATGTATGTATATATATAATATATTATTTAAGGACCATAGCAGTGACGTAGAAACGGTTTTTGAATTGATTGAATATCATAAAACCTGTGGAGTAGGTTACACTAATATAGACCTAATATAGTACCTATATTGACAATTATTCCTTTGATGAAAATTTTTATAATTTAATTTATAAATAAAATGTTATGCCGAGAATAATTGGTCAAATAAAAAAGAAAATTTAATAATAAATCAAATCTTTTGCCTGTTGGTAGGTACCTAATATCTACAGCAGTACAGCTATAAATATGATGTAACTTTAAAGTAATTTATAGTTTTTTTTATATATAGTTCAATCTTCAATCATCGTTTGTCATATAAATATTATACTATTACTATAATACTACCTACCACCTATCTACTTAACACATAATAGTATTATATATTTATACTATGGTGCAGGGGCGTCATTTGGGGTATTGCAGGGTATGCCTATGCATACCTAAAATTATCAAGATGGAATTTGGCCCGACTATAATTTTTCTGCGCCGGGCAAAAATTATCGTTTTTAGATTCTGAGTGGAACGATGAATGTATTGATTTTACAATGATGTGTGTTTTTTTTATTTTTTTTGTGTCTGTGTACACGATAAGTAGTCGAAATAATGCTTCGATTTTCAACTTCAGTATCTTGTTCGATTGGAAAGTGAATATCGTTGGTGAATTGGGGAGGTCAAAATTAAAATATGAGCACATTTATTTTTTACAGACATTTTACATTCATATTTGGACAAAATTACATATTAAAAAACCTAAAATAACTATTTTAGTTATTTTGTTATTTTTTTTGTGTCTGTGTACACGATAAGTAGTCGAAATAATGCTTCGATTTTCAACTTCAGTATCTTGTTCGATTGGAAAGTGAATATCGTTGGTGAATTGGGGAGGTCAAAATTAAAATATGAGCACATTTATTTTTTACAGACATTTTACATTCATATTTGGACAAAATTACATATTAAAAAACCTAAAATAACTATTTTAGTTATTTTGTTGCGATTGAATAATATTATTCGTGGGTACTTGATACTTGAAACTTCTAAAGTGTACTATTATATATCTATGATAGTATCACGGTTTGTTGTTGATGTATAACGCTTATAAGTACCTAATGGATATTGTGATAATGTGATATGATTAATTTGGAATTTATTATAGGTCAATTTTTTTTTTTTTAATACCATAGATATGTATATAATTTGTCTTAAACCTAGACTGACATACCGTCTTCGCTCAGAATCGTTTTTCTTATACAATGATATGGTATCATTGAATTCAAATTTAAAAGCATCCATTATACAGTGACCCACTTGTAACCTACTGTACAGCAGAGCGACATCCACTTACCCACTTTTTTTACTATTGAATACTTATTTTTTATTTTTTTATTCTTAATTTTTTTCTACTTATAATTATTCTTGTTAAATAAAAACACACACAGACAATTTACGCTAATACGCTATGGAAACGCTGGAAATTTTAAAAACTAATGGTAAAAAACCTAAAATTACGCACATCGGCTTTATTTATCATTTTCAAAAAGAGTGTTCAAATTTTTTACGTTGGCGATGTTCTAAATTTAGCTCTTTAAAATGTCCGAGTGTACTTAAGACTAGTTTAAATATTTAAAATCCAATATTTGTTGGTCTTGATCATGACCATGTACATGATTCTAATAAAAATGCAGTCGCTGCTTTAAAATTACAAAATACAACGAAGAAAAAAGCACAAATATCACATGCAACACCGAGTCAAATATTTGCTGAGTCTGTGAGTAATGTACCACATGCAATATTATTAGAATTGCCAAAAGAAGAACACGTAATTATAGATACTATAATTAACGTTTAAAAAATATTTGTTCAACCATTTGCATGAGGTTGTGAGTAATATTGTAGTTTGGGGATTTTTTTTCCTAGGGTCGGGGATTTTTTTTCCGGGGTTGTTCGTCGGGGGTTTTTTTTTCCGGGGATTTTTTTTCCGGGGGATTTTTATTCCGGGATTCAGCAAATGGGTAGGTGGTAGGTCAGGGGCGTAATTTGGGAGGGGGGGTGCAGGGTGTACATTTGCACCAACTTTTTTTTAAAACGCCTTCTTTGGCCTGCCAACAATAAATATAAGCGCCAATGCCCTATAAACCTAAGTGTTTTATACTTTTATATAATACTAGCTGATCCCGTGCACTTCGTTTCCCGTTAAATGTACCAACTCTATATGACTCAAACATTGTTCAATGCGTTATTTAATATTCGGTGTATGATGTTCTAGATTTATCTTAACTTTTCTGTTGCCCAGAATAAAAATTCTGAATTGCAGCAGTACATTATCAGATAAGTAATTTACCTGCGGTAGATCGCGGACCCCGTGCTGTTTGTACGTAAGTGTATGATTTAACTCAAAAAGTACCAAAGTTATACCAAGTTTGACGTTTTTACTTAATTCCACCTACCTATAAATCCTAACCTAACATAACCGTACTAAAATCCGATGAATAAAAAAAACCAAATTTAACCCTTTTTAAATTAGCGTATCTTCTTCCCATAGGTCTAATCTACACACCGTCATTCATTTATATATATAGATATATTTACAAAAAATAATAATTAATAATACAAATCAACAAACATGCCCGATTAACCAATAGCAACCAATATAATATAATACACCATAGAGTAAATAAAGACCAAGGTATCGAGTTCAAATCCCAGACATCAATAAATAGTTTTTGCAGTTTTTCTAATTATTCGGTTGACTTTTTAAAAATTTTCTTTCGTAAAAACCTTCACCTAGCAATTACGATCATCTTAAAAAAAATTTGAGCAAAATCGGCCCAGCCGTTCTCAACTGATTCAATTTCGAATTTTTTGTCTCCATTTTTATATATATAGATACATTTTATATTTTTTCAGTATTAAAAAAAAATATGTTGTAGGTACTTTGTTCAATTTTCATGAATGTTTGATGTGGTTTTTTGGTCCCACGATATTATCATAGATATCTATGAATATAATAATTGATAAAACTATAACACAGGCATTATGAAGAAGGGTACCCATAAAATAAATTTCTGGTTTTATTATGCTAGCTATATTATATATTTTGAGTATGCAGGGAGAAAAAATGTGTTGGTTAAGATTGGTTAGGTGTTTCATTATAAAGATGTTTTATACCAATACAATACATTTATTTACCAAGTGTAAATACCACTGTACACTGGTATACACATTCTATAATATAAACTAAAAACATTAAATGTACCCACACATAGTTCGTCGTAAAGAGTAACAATATTGTGATATTTTCATACTAATATAAGTGGCATATTAAATAAATTATACAAATATTCTAAAGTTTTTGTCATCACTTGACACTCCCTCCCCAAAAAAAAGAAATGTAATGGATCGCCTGCAAAAACTTTAGCACCAACAAAAAAAAAGTTGAAATGACGCCCCTGAGGTACACAATCGTATACAAAAATATTATTGAAATAAAACTTCACTTGAGTGTTTCTTGTTGGCTGTAAGTATGTATATTTTATCTCAAACGAGTCAAACACATTCAATAGGTACTTTATATTTTATATTAATAATTTATATAGTATCAATAGTATCATAGTCATAATGTAGCCATGTAGGTACTAAATACTAAAGTACTATAAATTCTAATTTTCCTGCGGATCTACGCGAAGGTATCTAAGTATATATCATAGGTATGGTGTCATAAAGCCATATAGGATAAGGATATACATTATACCTACAGGCTATAATAGTCTATAATCGTTTATATTCAATGCTATAACCCTTTACTATATAATATAGAGTGTCAAACGTAGGCGCAATTTGGGGGGAGGGGATAGGGGAGACTTAGCTCCCTAGTTTTATTTAAACCTCCCCCAATTTTTTAAATATATTCATTCTTAAATCCATAATCAGCAACTATTAAAAAAATTATCAAACTAAAAAAAAAAGGTGTGTAAGTGGATGTTGCTCTGCTGTGCAGTTGGTTACAAGTGGGTCACTGTAATGGATGGTGTTAAATTTTAATTCAATGATATAATATCATTGTATAAGAAAAACGATTCTGAGCGAAAACGGTCAGTCAGCCTATGTTATTACTTAGTATATTTCATGATATTATTGTGAATAAAATAATTTATATAT